GGGGCTCATGTAACAGAGCATCACGGCGAGGCGGAACTACAAAAATGATTCCACCATACTGCCGTGCTAAGGAAAAACGCCGTATGAGCCATCAGGGGTTGCCAAACTGCCTTCTACAAATCACGAATTTTCAGGAACATTCACTGAAAAAAAATTCTCGGCGTTTTTACCAAGGTCCGTTGGTACCTTTACTATCTCACTTTTTTTACCGATTATTGGTAATTTTACGACGGACCGGTAAGCTTACCTAAAAACTGGTATTTTTACTGTTTTTTTCAAGTAAGAATACCACATTTATTGGTAATCAATTCCCGGTAACTTTGCCATTTTATCTCGGTAATTCTACCACAGTCTATAAAAAATATTGGCGTTTTTACCAAGGTCCAGTAAAATTACCGAGAAAGTTCAATAATTTTACCGAGATTTCTTGGTAAGATTACCAATTCCATAAATGGTAATTTTACCAAGAAAAAACTGGGATCAAATAGAACCCTGAATTCTTGGTAATTGTACCCGTTTCTTAGTAAATATACCGAGATTTTATTTTCAGTGTTCGTGAAGATGTCTCCTCCGATTTTTCACGGAATTTTGTTCGTAATTCTGTCTAAAACGTCTGTAGAATTCAAGGTAAAATATTTATGCCTTTCCTCATAAACGTATATTTTTCAGAGGAAATTTGGCAACACCCGAATGTTCTTACGGCGCTTTTACGTGGCACAGCAGTATGGGTTTATAAGCCACCGAGTTCGCAGTTCGAATACGCCACGCCGTGTAAAAGGCAATGATTTCGAACGTTACTCGGTAATGACTTCTCCTCTCGACCGTGAGGCAACAAGCGTCGTTTCGCGTAAGTGCAAGTTTACAAGCCAGCGTCGCGCGCTTTTCCGATCGATTGATTCCGATCTGCACGAAGCACGCACAAGCACACTGCCGTGCTAAGGAAAAAAGCCGTATGAGCCTTCAGGCGTTGCCAAAGTTCCTTTGATAAAACGCGAATTTCCTGGTAAACTCATGAATGTTTTCCTTCCAATTTTTCAGATACTTTTGCTCGAAATTCCACCGAAAAGTCCTGAAAATTTCAAACTTTCCTTATAAATGAACATTTTATCGAAGGAAATTTGGCAACTCTCGAATGTTCATACGGCGTTCTTCCTTAGCACATACAAGTACACTCTGCATGCCGTGCTGAAGAAAACCCTCGTAGGAGCGTTCGATTCTTGCCGAATTTCCCTTGACTGGATTTTTATATATCCTGAAAAGGAATAATATTAAAAGAAAATGTGGTCAATATTTCTCCTTAAAATTTTCAGGAAAAGTAGAAAAAATTCGTATGAAATTCTATGCAAATGCTAAAAGATTCAATACACAAGTTTTCCAGGAAATACCTATTTTATTAGAGTGAACTTGGCTAACGTACTTTTCAAGTGGCGTTTCAACCTAGGATAGCCTGCAGTATTGCAACGCAGTCGAGTTTCGCGATAAAATTCGACGACTGCGTTTCCTCTTATTTAAACAATAACAGTCCTCAAAATTGGGTTATAACTAGGGAATTTAGCAGATGAGCCCCACTCACCGAAGCTGCTAATAATGAAAGGATCAAATCGAAAAATTTCGAAGTTTAAATTTCCCTGAACGAAAATGAGTCCCCATGATCGCATCGAGAAATAATATTCCTCTCAAACTTCCAACACTGGTCATCAGTCGGGTCACGGCAACTATTTAAACTCGACGGTGATGCTAGGTTGCATACCTCGCGCAATGCAGGAGTTTTGGTTTTCTACTCAGCTTATCGTATCGTTTAACGCTCGCGATTACGGGCAGTTACAGAACTGAGATTTCGATGTCCTCTCGCTCGAAACTCTCATTTTGCGGCCGGCGGTGAGTTTGTTTCTGTTTAGCGATCGCCCTTTTTTAATTACCTAAACATGATTGTGTTTTTTTTAAGACCACGTGTGACTTACACCTGGTCTTATACACTGGAAAAAAGCACATTGGATCTAGAGTCCAGACTCTTTAAAAACATCGACAAGAAAAAGTACTCTTGATTCAATCAGATTTAAGTTTAAATCAAGAACCAAGCCTCTTAATTTAATCGGATTTCGTTTTGATTCAAGCAATAATCCGATTGAATCAAAAGTAATTTTTCTTGTCAATGTTATCAAGAGTCTGGACTTTAGATCCAATGTGTTTTTTTCCAGTGAAGAGAGTTTTTGTGCGGATTCTTTTGAAAATTTTAAGTAATGTGCTTCGCACCATGCACAAAAATCCGCACAACCGTGTTTGTGTAAAAAATTAAATTTGGCAATAGCTGATGTGGCTTGGTTCCTTTCTAATTAACGTGGTCCAATTTGAAGACGGCTCTTACAACGAATAATATTCACACCTGCGTAATTTCATGTTTGGATTAGCTCAAACGGTTGTGGTCATCCGCATCAAAAGAATTAGGACGAAAAAATGTTTATAGGGCAAGAGTCAAAATGCATGGCTTAGAGTTCCCACGAAATTATTCTTAAAACATATCAATAAAAAAAGTACCGGAAGTCAATTAACTACAA